TCCTCCTCAGTGTTACACACTGAACCTTTAGCTGAATTTCCAGACAAATTTAGGGCAAATGAAAATGCTTATTAATTGCTGTTATGTGAATATAAGAAATATAAGAAGACACAATGAGATGACTCAATTAAAAGTACACCAATCTCAAACAATGGGAAATAATGTTTGAGGAAATAATGGGAAATCATGTAGAAACATAATGGAAATTTTTGAATTTTTTTTTGTATTGAGGAAGGTTGCTGTCTCCTCATCGCTCCAGACAGATCTGATGTTTTTGCCTACTGAAATGTTTTACCTCTTCAGCCAAGTGGGAGTATCGCTGTTTCCATTGCACTTCAACACATTTTGTTTTTATCAACACAATAACTTGACTACCTCAGACAAGCATAAAAATATTTTTTGCAATATTTCAATATTTTTTTTTGGTCTAATTTACAGAATTTTCATTTGTGTTTTTTTATGCAAAGTGAAAATATGTATAAAAACAGGTGGATGGGGGCGTTTGGGTAGATCGCCTGGTAGAGCTGGTGCCCCATGAGCCGGGGCTGGGTCCCTGCTGCTGTGGCCAAGGGTTCAATTCTGGCCTGTGGCCCTTTGCTGCATGTCGTGTCCTCTCTCTCTCCCTCCCTCCCTGTCACTCTTCAGCTGTTACTGTTGGTTAAAAGCAATAATAAATATATTCTTAGTTTTATAATGCAATAATTATTACATTTGTATTCAGAAACATTACATTTCATTTAAACAAATGTGTTAATTTCTATGAGTTGAAATTAACACATTTCAAAAAGAAAGATAGGCATGGCAAATAAGATTCCAGAATGTTATATATTATTAGCATAAATAATAAATCGTGATAATACACAGAACTATATGGAATGTCAGGGGGTTTAGTTAATTTGATTATATTTTTTCAAATCTTTTTTTCCCCTCATCTTCCTGCCTCAGCCTTTCACAGACAGCTGTGGTGGCTGCCACTTGCTCCTCTCATCCAGCTCCTCCTCCTGCCCAAACCTGGATGTTCTGACTGAACAAAGCAGCAAAGAGCAGTAAACCAAACCTCAGCCTCAAAATGGCCCTGTACATCAGAAACATTACATCATAGGTTTTCTGTCACTTCTCTTCTCAAGCTACAGTCTGCTGTGTGTCACTAAGCCTAATTAACAAACACAACTCGCTTATCAGACCTGTCAATTCTACTCACAACATTTCAAAATGCACACAGTAGACAGACAGACAGGTTTTCTGCTCTGGTACTTGTTCATTTAGACATTATTAATCAGGGACAATGCACATTAATATGTGTTATATATGATGTGAATGAGCCAGGTTCAGCCTGATATCCCTGAGCAGGTTGATGTTAAAACTTAAACTATTCATAAACCTCCTTTAGTGAAAATGTAATTAAACTATAAAAAAATACAAAATTAAAAATATCCTATCACAGCATGAATCGGCAGTGTAATTACAAGAAATTCATTTTGAGCTACACATTGTGAAGTTTGTTTTTAGAAATAAAGATCTGTCTGGAAGTGTTTTTGTATTTGTTAGTGCGCTTTTCTGAAGATGCTTCATCATAGTTGTCCCATATTCTCCTCTGCGTTAGTTATGGCTGAGGGTCATGAACAGGACAACAGCCTGTTTCTAGCCCTGACTGTAACATGATGAAGTTTAGTACAGCAATGAGGACAAGACTGAAAGCCACGGTTCCCTTAGAAGCGTCAGCAAATAGGATAGAAATAATGAAATTTTTAATATTGATTATGTAAAAACACAGTAAATTGTTAGCAATTAAAGACTAAATTTGTTCCAAAATAAGTTTATGCTGCGACTTTAATGAAGCTGAAATCATGTTGGCGCGTTAGGATCATTTATTTAAGAGCATCCTTTCCTGTGACGGAAGAATGAATGATCAGCATTTTATTTTCTTATGAGGCTGTTGAGGTTATTATTAAGATGAACTGGAGCTTAAAGTCTGTCTGTGTTATCCTGAGCGCTTCCACACTGGTGCTAGAAGATGATATTTGCATTAAATGAGCCGTTATCCTCCCTTCAACCAGACTGCCGCTCCGCACACACACACACACACACACACACACACTCAGGTAAAGATTATAACAGAAACGGACTTCTCATCGACACGTGTGTGGACATGTATCATTGCAGGTAATGAACAGAAAACAGAGAGAGCGCGGAATTAAGAGAGAAACCGACCACGAAGGCTTGGAGCTGAATATTTATTGAATATTTATCATTTAGTTTATAATAATATATAGGCTAGTGTTTAAAAAGAATACATTTAAATAGGCCGATATAATGTTTTTTTTTACTAATTTAACTGAAACCAAATGATGTCCGCTTTTATTTATTTTATGTATTTATTTGGTAGTTTTCAGGTCGTAATAAATCCTTTGTAAACGAATAACGGCCTTTTTTAAATTACAATTTTACTGCCTCTATTGGTTAAATTACAGTTAATAAAATTAAAACACGTACAAAAAAATAAATAAACGAACTGCAGGGTAGGCCTGAGGCCTAAATCCACAAGATTTATTATCAAGCGCACCAGTAACAATGAATCTGCCTACAATTGAAATGAAACCGTTATCCTTTTTTTCCCATAACCATCAAAAATCATTTAAAAAATCCAATCCGGCGGATAAATTGTAGTATATAACCTGAATAAACTGCAGTCATTTTCTGAAGGAGGTAATGTATTTGATCTCATGTTATTTCTCTTTAAAACGTCTCCCTGCCTGAGGCCCGGCCTCAGTGCTCACTTCTGTTTCAGCCCAGGTGAATTTAAAGGTCGGAATTCTAGGCTATCACAGGATGTTATGGAGATTTTTTTCGATTAGAAACGTCTTAAAATAGCTTGTTTAATGCTTCCTGATTAAAAATAATAAGCCTCTGTGTATATCTGACCCCCAATGAGCTGAAAAAGATCAGCCCTCTGAGCAGTAAAGTAGATTTATAGCTCTATAACCTTAAACAACAGAGTGGATCATGGGATATTCGTCTCTCAACACAGCATAACATTTCATGAGGAGGAGTTTTTTACATGTTAGCCAAAATGTAACAATTTTAAGGAATTGTTATTTTTGTTTTAGTCACTGGGGTCAAAATTGGTGTGTATTTTCCTGCTAATGTTTGTGCGTGTGTGTGTGTACTGTTCAGCGTACAGTAGATGAATGAAGTCAGAGGGCTCCTGTCCCTCATCACCTCCTGACTCCACCTCCTACCCTCCTCAGACACACACCCGCACACACACACACACATACTTAGGGCTGAGAGCGTGGAGGGAAAAGAGGGCTACTCCTCCTCACTCCTGCACTCCTCTTTCTCCATTCACTGAGAAAGCTCTGAGCAGAACAGAAACCTCTCTCCTCCTTGAATGGACTCCATCTCCCCGAGCCAAACGCTCTTTCACTGCTGTTGTTGACGGAAACTGTGATTTTTTTTATTTCTTCTCCTCGTGCTGCTGTTGAGAAAAGTTGACTGCTGTGACTTTTCTGTGTCGCCATGAACTTCTGTCGGACTTGAGGAGTTTCCAGAGCAGCTGTGTGGTGTCGTAAACAACTGATGGGCAAAAACCGAACCAGAGAAGACTTGTGAAAGAGGAGAAACAGTGCTTGTAGTGAAAGATTTAGAGGGTGGTGGCTGATTTGGGTTTGGGTCAGCCAGACTCAAGGCAGGGAGACAGACAGGTAGAAAGGTACGGGGTGACAGATCAATTTTAAAAATAGCCTACTTTTGTCCTAGTTTTGTCCCCTGGACCACAATGGGTTCAGACGTACGTGACCTGAACTCTCTGCTGCCCCCGCTCCCGGCGGGCCCCAGCCCCGGCTGCCCAGCCCTGCCCGTCAGCACGGCCCCTCAGTGGGCTCCCGTCCTGGACTTCCACACCGCCGCCTCCCCTTACTCCTCTCTGGCCACCCCCCACACCTCCCTGGGGCCGCACTCCTTTATCAAGCAGGAGCCCAGCTGGGGGGCCACCACTGACCCCCACCACCTTGACACAGACCCTCACTGCGGTCTCAGCGCCTTCACCGTCCACTTCTCAGGGCAGTTCACGGGGACCGGGGCCTGCAGGTACGGGACAGCATTCGGGGCACCACCACCTCCGGCACCAGCCCCCACTCAACCTCCATCTGTGACCGCCCCGCACCACCACCAGCCCCCCAGCAGGATGTTCAGCAACCCACCGTACCTGACCAACTGCATGGACACACAGCAGGCGGCCCGCAACCAGACAGGTAGGGCTGGCGGAGGAGGACAGGTGTGTGTGTGTGTGCGTGTGTGTGTGTGGGATGCTTCTACATTCCAATAA